CATGGGCAAGTCAATTTGCAAATTTAATGCTGGGGGGTGTACCATATTGGCACGTGATAATTAGAACCTATTGTATGTTGTATTTTGTGTATGCATATTAAGTAGGCTAGCACATTATGCAAATCCAGAAAGTGCGCACATCCAAATGGTGTGTATGAACAAGCAGAATAAACGTCTTCAACAACACACTACAGGTGGTAACCCTGCATTGGACTATGAACCCATCTAGAGGTAAGGCAAAGTCTGCATGTGATCTAAGTGACCCATCAAGCCACTCCTTATCTGCAGTTTCCGTAGCATGAGGCCACTAGCAGTGTTTTTACACCAGATGGATGGGATGCTGGTCCATCGTAAGGTTACCCCCTAGCATTAAATTTGCCTGGAAACATTTATAAACCTGCGTGGAGAAAGCACTGTGAGAGTAAAGCGTCTTGCCCAAGACCACAACACAATGACAGTCTCCAGCTGGGACTCAAACCCTCACCACTTGGTCGAGAGGCAACACTATTTACTAAGGTCACTAGCCATCCCATCCAAAGGCGAGTAGAAATAATCTCAGTTGTTTAATGCTACCAAGACAGAATAAGCTCTGGTAAGATGGGATACTTCAGTCCAACGCAGACTTAACCTTACCCCCGGGGGAGGGGGTACTCCCAGAAAAGTTGGGTAGGGGTGTGCGGCCCACTTCGCAAAACCCTTACCCTATTTGTGACCAAAATCTGCGATTTTTCCTACCCTATTTATGGCTTGGCCAAAAATTCGATACCCTATTTATGACCGTTGCAGTTGGCGCAGTTGCCTTAAACTGAAGTTATGAAGGACTTTTGTTGACATTGTTATTGATAACGAAAAAGTAGCTTCTCCTAAGAAATATACCCAATTAAAGACTAGAGTGCTAAAACCATACCCATGGCCAAAATCGATACCCTATTTATGGCTAAAACGGCTGAAAACCTTACCCTTTGGGGCCACACATACCTATATAGCCCATATAAGGGAGTACCCCCCCGCCGGGACCTTACCTACATGTATGTACAATTAGGTACAGAATCGGACCTCACTTCGACTGTAAAAATTGATGGTAACTCCCTCCAGTTCTGAACAAACCTTTTCATTTAGTGGCTTAATATGTAAACTTAAGCTGTTTTTTTCATGGTATAGCTGACCATTGATTCTATATCCCAGGTCGGCCAATCAGAAGAATTTTTTTTGCATCTGTTTTGGGAACGACTGCAGCAGCTATCTGTTATCCAAAACAGGCGGTTGACATAACGCAGACCAATTATCAGAGACTAAAGGTCTTTGTGAATGAGCAGAGAAGCAACTATAACCAAAAACAAGCAGAAAAGGCTGCTAAAGAGGAACTTAAACTTCGTGCAGAGGAAACACGAGTTTTAGAAGATCAGGGAAGTCCTACAGTTGAAGTCACTAAAGGGGAAGTTGTGGAAAGCCAGACTGAAGTGAGTGATGTGCAAGAGAAAACTACAGAACCAGAGATGGCCGCAGAAGTGAAGCCTCAGTCATCATTTTGGAGTAAGATTCCATTTGTTGATAAGTTAACTGGTGGAAAGACAAGTGCAACTGGAGATGTGAGTCCTGTGCAAGTCAGTGATGATAAGGTTGTCACTGCGGAGGCTGAAAGCAGCAAGGATCAAGTGATTGTGCAAGAAGATTCAGCCAGTGGAGATGTGAAGCCTGAAGGAGACATCGGACAGTCAAACCCTGAAGACAAAGACATGTACTCCACTCGCTCGTAAATGAAGCGAGGCGCTTTAATGACACTTGAGAAACAAGACAGGAAAGGCTATTCAGTATTTGTCATTTAATCAGCTTAAAGCAAAAGCGAAAGACACGGTGCAAATTATAGCCACTGCATAAGAGCTAACAAAAACCCTTTTTTTTTATTTTGTTAAAGTGCCCCGTTTCTAATGAGCGCATTTTCAAATAAATAAACTAAATACCGGGTCTGTATTGTTGATTTTTATGCCAGCGTTACCTGAGATCATGTCGGTATCGAAGGAGTTTGTTCGGTGGGTTTACGAGAGTCACGTGATCTTGAGGAATTCTTCACCGAAAACTGGGAATTAGTCAAGCCCAATATCACGTGGTTCCCCTAACGTGTCAGTTTTAAGACGATGCAAATTACAATCCAAGCTACTCAATTCCAGGTCAATCTCACCTATGACAGCCCAAGTTTCCAGAGCATTTTATTTCCAACCACGCCTGCCGCATGCGCAGCGGCTAAAGATTGCAGCTATAAGTCTGTTGCTATTGATGAATAAGTAACCAGGTAGTAAGTTAAATACGCGATTTTAACTTTTAAGGACGTTGCCTACTTTTGTTACTGCGCAAATGTTCTGCGCATCACGCAATGCATGGTTTACACACCACGCGCGCGCTAGGATTGACAATGACGTAATCAACTACGCTTCCAAGTACGCGGCTAAAGGCCCGGATACACGGTTGCAACATTTCGTGCAATATTACGCGCACTATTTGATGAACAGCTACCAAGCTCTCTTGCGATCATGTTTACATCGCGCAATCCAAAATGGCGTCGTTAAGCAAGAAAAACGCTGTAGCAATTCTTGCGCTAATGCTCTTAGATGGCGAGGAGAAATGTCGCATTAAAAGGAAAAATCGCCGTGTTTGGGTCCGAGGCTGGATAGCCAGAAGGCAGGAGATGGTGGCATCCCACAGAATTGTGCGAGATTTGGCTACGGAAGATCCCAGTTCGTACAAGGAGTACTTACGAATACACGAAGAACACTTCAAACTTCTTTTCTTTTCAACCTTCGTTTCTTTGGTTTCGCCGTTGATTAAAAGTCAGCGGTTAAATTTGAATGTGAGATTTGATTGGCTAAACACTGAAATTTGCCTCACACTGTTGCACGAAATGTTGCAGGTGGTGGATACACGAAGAAATTTGTTACACGCAATGTTGCAGAGGTAGGACGAAATTCTATTACCGCAATATTGCGCTCAACAATTTCAGGGGTGGATACACGATTAGCCGCGATTACCAGCCGTTGTTCGGGAAAGGAGCCCGCGCTCCTCCCTCGGGAGGAACGTAGAGCGGACTCGAGAAAGCATCGGAAATTGAGCCT